CGTCAACGTGTATTTTTTCGTACGATCAACAAAGTTAAGCAGCAATATGTGTGGTTGTTATTGCTGCTTGAAAAAAAAAACTTTTTTTATTTTTAGCCCGTTTAATTTGTGTAGACAAACAAAATTTGCGATCCTGAATGCTGATTACGAGCAACCCATTAAAAAATTTCGCGATATCGTCAGGTGTTAAGGCAGTTAAAATTTAGAATCACGGATGCTATTTACCAGACCGATTTGCGATATCGTATGCTGTTTACGCGGTATTAGTGATGGGTTGTTATTTAACTATCTGTTATTTTATAACAATTATTTATAAATAACATAACGTAACCGTTACTACTTCTAAAAATAACAGATATAAAATAACGACACGTAGAGATCGGCCGCTCGTGAAACGAAAAACGAAGTCGGCGCTCTGCACCGCCACGAAATTTTATGCTGTTCCAAGCAATTCCAAAAAACAACTAGTATGGATGGAAAACATGTTATTTCATCAACCATCGATACAGGCGGCGAGACAACGGACAACGGAATGGGGAATGCGCTACGACGAACGTAGCTGACCGACGACGGTCGATACCGTCGATGGTCGTGTTGGGTTTGCAACAGATTAAAAATAATAGGATATAAAAGAAGCAGATTTTTTGAAACAGTTGCGGGCATAACGCCTGGCGGTCGATATAACAGGAGTGGGAAAGGAACGCTGCTGCATCGGTCGATTGTCGATGGAGGCTTGCAACGGGTTGGAGAAGCAGTCATTTTAGATACGTTGTTTTTCAACCTGTTACAAGCATAACAGGGCGGCGGTCGAGATAATAGGAGTGGGAAAGGAACGCTGCTGCATCGGTCGATTGTCGATGGAGGTTCGAAACAGGTTGGAGAATAACGCATCAGTTGTTTTAGATATATTGTTTTTCAACCTGTTACGAGCATAACCGGCGGAGGTCGAGATATTATGGCGCTGTATATTTCAGTACTTACTTATTAAGTTTCAATATTTAGGTATTTATTTATTCTGAAAAATTTTCAGAATATTTTAAGATTTTTTAAAAATGTATACAGGGTGTTTTGAAAAATCTGGTCATTGATTAATCACGATCCTGCTTAAAGCACTTGACGTAAAAAGCTGATTTTTGGAAAACGGATTGACTTTAGGGTGTAGAGATTCGATAAGAAGGGATTTTTCGAAACTCTAAGGGGGTGAAACTACCCTCAAATATTAGAATATTTTTTATTTAAAAACCGGTGAGTTTTTCGGAAATACTCTTAAAACACGTATATTTTATTATGTTGTTTTACATAATTTAAGATTGTTTAAAAATATATACAGGGTGTTTCATAAAATATGACCTTTGAGTGATCACTATTCTGCTTAAACTGCTAGAAGTTAAAAGCTGATTTTTGGCAAACGGATTGACTATGGGGTTGAGGTTCGATAAGGAGGGGTTTCTCGAATCTCAAATTCCAACACGGTGAAAACGCCCCTCAAATATTACAATATTTGTTATTTAAAAAACGGTTAGTCTTTCGGGAAAACGCCTGGACACGCATAATTTATTTTGTTTTTTTACATATTTTGAAATTTTTAAAAAATCATACAGGGTATTCCAAAAAGTTGAGTAATTGATTAACCAAGATTCTGCTTAAACTACTCGACGTTTAAAGCTTATTTTTGGCAAATGTGAGAAAATTTTATCCAGTTTGTATGTTAATGGAAATGCTTGTTTTGCTTTATCATCACCATTAGTAATTATTAATTCGACGCGAACGAAGTCGCGGGTACATGCTAGTTTAAGTGTAAAATTAATTCGAACTCTAGTGTGTAGTTGGTTTACTTATGAAGAATATACTACACATTTTCTTATATTGCTATTTTGTGACCGCAAATGGTAACTAAGAGCTTGTAACGTGCCAAAATTTCACTAAACTATTTTATTTCTTTTCTTTAATAATTTAACGCTAATTGATATTATTATTAGTCTGAAATATCGATCAGTTCAATTCAGTAAACCAAGAATAAATAAATCGTACTTACATGTTAACAAAAGTAATTATTCCATCCTTATTTTTAACTAAACATATTTCACACTTAATAACATTTTTTTGCAGCACAAAACTAGTTTGATTTAATACAATTTAATATTTATTTTAGCCGAAATAGATAAAATAATTCTTTCCGCCGTTAATTCTGTTTATATACTAAATACGTAGGTTAGAAATTTTTGAATTGAACTGTCAAATATTTATTTATATTTTTATTAACATTAACTATTAGGCAACCCAAAATATACTTTAATAAATTGATTATATATTTTTGTATTTTATTTAATCAACAGTAATTATTGAGCCTATTGTCACTTAGTTAAACTCATTAAATTTATGTTGCTCTATTTTAATTTTTAGGTAGAATTTTCTAAGCATAATTGTCTTAAAAATATCGTATCGATCCGGCAAGTGAGTCATGCGCAATATCTCTAGATTGTTGTTATTTATTAATTTTTGAATGTTTTGATAAGCAAATTTCTATATAACTTTCATTAATCTCGTTAACTTTATTTATTCTATTAATTATATAAATTATTGATATTAACTTTATTTTCCTTTAATATATAACTTTTTCTTCATGTCTTTATTCAGCTCATGGTTGGCAATCCATATTTTATCAAGGGCTCGTGTTTTTATCTGGCTATTTCTTTGTTGCAAAAAAGGTTTTCGTTTTTCTTGGAACTACCTTGGTTTGGTCACTTTATGTTCAGCTAGTGTGAGGTACAGAGGCCTCTCGGTCATTTTTGTCAAGTTTTTGATTTTTACCCTTGTGGGGATTTTCGAGTGTGCCTCAAAAATTACTGCAGCATCCTATCTTACCTTTTGTTTTTTTGGACGGTGCTACGGTTTACCGGTGACGGGATTTTCACCTCAAAAAGCTGACGTGGGTCAACCAAGCAGCCCGCCTTTTTTTTTATTGAGCACCCCATTCCATCCAGGGGAAGAAATAATATTAATCACCTGAGGATTCGTAGAAAACCCTGAGTTAGCAGGTAAAGCCTATTTTTTTAAATTAATACATTTCTTTCCACTTTTTTTTTTTCTTCTTTAAAAAAACTATCTTTTTTATGGTATCTCGTACTATGGAGAAACTATAATATTATTTCTCCGTAGGGTTTTTTCGTCGGAGCCGAAGAGTTTTTTGTCTGGACCGAAGAAGTTTTTTGTCTGGGCCGAAGAAGTTTTTCTTCTGTGTTGAAGACTCTCTCTGAGCCAGTTTTTTTGTTGGAGCAGTTTTTTCGCTGTATCCATTTTACTTTTCTGGAGGAGTTGACAGTCGACGGTTGACAGTTGACAGCCGACGGTGTCTGCCCAAGATTGATTTGATTTAGAAGATTTTCAACTATTTGGTATCGTACAATTCAATTTTTATTTTTTTCCTATCTTACGATTTGAATTTCATTGGTGCGTACGAATACAGAACGTAGATAATTTTTTAACATTATAATTTAATTAGAATAAATTTTCACATACTTAATTCTGTTGATAAAATAATATTTCATTTTTTTTTCCTTTAATTTTTTTTTGTAAATTTAATACAGCTGACACAGTTTCTTTTTGTCTCTATTTAAAATTTAAATCTATTCATTTTTTTTATCGATATCTAAATTTCTTGAACTGATGAATTCATAATTATTAGTTGATTATTTTGATTTATTTATTTAATAATTATATTATTAATTATTATTATTAGTGAATTGGTTTAGTATTATTTATTTGATTTATTAATTTGTTGATTAATTTGATATCTTAGCTGAATTTAGTTGCGCTGATATATACATATATATTTTATTTTGTAAATCTTACGTGATCACGAAAGGTACCTAGGTATTTACGTAATTTTGTTACTTGCGTATTGTGAGATATATTTTTCTTGGTGCACAATTTTTTTTATTGATTTATTTAATTTACTATTTGCTATTTGGTATTTTCTATTTACTGTTTCCTATATTTTCCTTTTATATTTCAATAGAGGGTACTGAAACTAATCAGTTTGCATTATTTTTTATATTCCTTTGGCCCTATGTCTACATAATTCTCTAAGATCTTGACTTTTTTTGTTTATTTATTTACTTTTTTTTATTTATGTATTTGTGGAACTTGTAAGGCCCTAAATACACCTTGGGGGATTTCTGACTTTTTTTTTCCGTCTAAAGTCAGTGGCGCTCTTAACCCGCCCCTACTCTCCGAATTTTCTGAGCTAGGGCATAAATTTGTTCACGACTAGACCCCTGCAAATTCCATAAATATTTATTTTTCTTAATCGCTAACTTAATAATATTTTTTTTTCCTTCGTATTTCTTTTACTTCTTTTCTAAATTTTTTTTCCTTTTTTTTTAATTTAAAAGAGCCGAGCTAAGGCCAAAACGCGTGACAAGCTTCTCGCCCGTCGAGTGAGATGCACCCTGTACACTGCTACGCAATTTAGAATCTACGCGGATCGAGGGGTAGGGCGTAGGTAGATCGGAATATATAGGTATAGACGAGTGGCGGAATTTTGGCTTCTTTTTATATCGCAATTTATAAACAGCGCTTATTTGTAAACAACCACCGTTTTTAGAGAGGTATTTTAGATAACAATCGATATTTAGAAATGTTTTGACACCCTGGAAATACCGAGCACGTCATTGTTGCAACTTGCAACTGCGTTAATACGCTTGGCGGTGACCGGCGGTGACCTCTTTCAGATATTTAGCAGTAAAATAAAGAAACCTGTTATTTTTAAGCTGTTATTTTAAGCTGTTTTTTATAAATAACTATAACGTTTCAACTGTTATCTAAAAATATCGCGGTATCGTTCGACCTATATAGAACCGAATCGCGATCATGGCCGTCGTTTACAAATATGCGTGCTGGTCAAACTTAATCACGTGACTGAAAGTTTATTTAATATAAACTATAGGTAATTGATATTTAATTTTATGTTTATTATTAAGTAAATTGTATAAGATTACCTGGTGGTATCTCGTGTTGTCTTACGGCATAATAACAAGTTAGATTCCTGGGGTATATTCCAGGATAATTGGGTGATTGAAGACGGCAGTGTTTTTTATCACAGTCGCTGAATATTCGTGAACAATATGTCCCTGCAATGAGCTCGCCCAGGTAGTAGTCCGGTTCTGGTACAGGGGTGGGAATGGTAAAATTGTAATGTGGTAGAGATAAACCTGAAATTGAGAAAACTTAATTAAGCATTGTATATTTGCACTTTGTAGTTTGTGCTTATTTTGTAGCTATCGTGTGACATAAATGTGATCTATTTTCTCAGAACAGTGAGTGGGTTAGTGGATGAAACTAAAAATTGGCTTTTAGTAATCATTAAATATTTTTATTATAAATTTTAGAAATATTAATATTTGGATAAGTGATTGTAAATTTGGATGTATTTATTAAAAATTCATATTATTAAATATTTTTTTTACCTCAAATAATTTTAGTAGTAGGTGCGTACGAATATGTGCTCATCAAAGTAAAGTTTACGTGAATAAGCGTTAACAGTTGCCTACATCATTTTTTATATTTTCGTTACAAATATGGATAATAATAAATGAAAATATTTCATTGTTTATTATATCATATTTGCACATACATTTTTACAAAACATAAAACAAATTAAAAACGAAAAACTGTAAATTTTATAATAAAGTCCTAATAATGCGTTTATACGGTTAATAACTATGTTATTAACAAAATTAAACAGTATTCACAGGTATTAAATATAATTCGTTGTGCGTAAAGAAAAAAATAATCATAAATGCAGAATAACTAATGCTTTATTAAAGACTAAAAGTGGTAATTAACATTAATAATTAATTTCTAACTAGTTTTTACCAATAAATTTATTCTGACGCTTGTTAAATGAAAAATAAAGTACGTGACGGTAATAAACAGATGTTGATTATTATTTTGTCATTTAGAATCCATTAAATGAAATTTTAAAAGGCACGACCTATTTATTTACGTAACATAACTTTTATAAATGTTACAAGAAGAAACAAGTATCAGTACTACTGATTGTTAGTCTTATTGAAATAGATGAATTATTTCAAAGAAGGGGATTCAATCATACTTTTATTAGAAGTGTCTTTAAAATTGATTCATATTAAGGCGGTCTCTCATGACTCGTGTACTTGTACAAGCATTGGTTATTGGCATATACCATGTCGGTCATGGTATGTCAGGTCATGTCGTGTGAGCGGTTTCCTTGTACAATTACTTGTCACTCGTCTGAGCTTGTTACAAAAAATGTTGCTTACAAAGATAGTATACTTGCCAAGTACGCAAATATTGGCGTGCTTGCCAAGTACAGGAGTCGTGAGAATCCGCCTTAATGGATAGATCTCGGGATAGTTACACAATTTGGTATAACATATATTTATCCTAATTAGTTGTAGAAATAGAAAACACAACCTATTTATAATCAGCTTACCGACTTTCGATTTGCACGGAAATCTTTGTACCTATACATAATTCACTTATCTTATTTTATATAACCAGTTAGATTGGGAGCTACATTGAAGCTACGTACATGGAAACACGATCGGGACTAGTGCTCTAACTGCAAGCTTCTCTACGATAAAATAGGCGTAGCAGGTGATGCGCTAATATTAAAAAACAAGCGAAGATGACCAGCTCGTACTTAATTAGCTGTGGCCGATAAGAACAGGTTTAACCCAAGGCCACACAGAAAGCATTTTTTGCGTTTTTAGCGTGAAGCGTCTTTAGCGACTAAAACAAAATAACAGGGTTATATAGGAGTGACCACACCAAAAGCGTGTAGCGTTCGGTGTGTCTCGCAAAAAACGCAAATGAAAACAAATCAGTTTGTTTTCTGTAGCGTCTTTAGCGTTTTCTAAGATCAGGCCCCGTCATAAGCGGACGTTATCTATACTAATATATAAAATCCTTAAGTGACTGACTCTACAACATAAAAAAATTATACACATATAAACTAAAATTCGTAAAATAAATGGCAAATAATAATTATTATTTTTACACACACCACTGGCACTAGCAGTAGATTGTGTTTGTCTCCGAATATATGCCCCGGCCCGTCCACAATTCAATCCCACCATCTTTTATCTTCGTCTCTTCAACGCTAACGGCGCCGATCTCGCCTATCTCTTTCTCACAGGATTGATTGTTGGACGGTCCGGGAATCCACGAGCTTGCGATGTTACTAATTGACATCTTGATAGAAACTGTAGACCTGCCGCGTCTTTTGCATGTTTTTAATGGACACAAATCGAAAAAGGCGCTTAAAACGTTAAAATCGCAAAAAGCGCTTGAGACGCAAAAAACGCAAAACGCTAAAAACGCTTTCTGTGTGGCCGTGGGCTAAGAGATGAAATAAATAAAATTCGGGTGCAAAAAATATAGATTATCGCAGAAGATTGAGTAATAACTCAGGATATTGGGGCAATTGTTATTTTTTGGCCCTTCGCGATGACGGAAAATCCACTACTTTTTTAGTTTTTGCCAAATTGTTATGATTAGGTTTCCTATCTTAGCTATGATATATAGTTTTAGTTTTAGTAGTTAGCAATGAAAATGGGAATGTTACGTCTGTTATATGTTGGTTCTTATATATTTGTATTTGTGTATTTTTACTTATTATATATTATATTTATATTATGATTATTTATTAGATAATCCGACATGCAGGTCATAATTTCTGAAATACTTTTAAACTCTGATTATACAGGGTCACAGGTCACAGATATAATTTGCATCATTATTTATTTATTAATATAGCTGAATATTGTTTTTATTAGTTATTTTTTGCTTTTACTTCTTTAAATTTCTCATTTAAAGAAATAAAACGCTTACAAATTTTATAAAACTTTAGCTCATAGAAAGTTTTGTTTAAAGAATCGTAAATTTCACGAAAAAGTAGCCAATATTCGCAAAATCCTTCGTTTCTTTTCAGCAGTAGTGGATATATTTGGTAAGGACATGGCAAAAATGAGATAGACTGTAGAATGAAGAACACATGTTTTCAATACTAAGATAACTTGATGTTTTTTTTAATCTATGTACTTTTGTATGAGGTATATGTTGGAAAATTAAGCATATTTTTAAATAAAATATTATTAGATTAAAAAACTAAATTAATATTTTATATTAAATATCCAGATTTAATTTAAACAACCGGATTTTTGCTGTTCAGAAAATTTGTTTATAAAAATATAATTATTTGGATTTCAAAAGTTAAACAAGAGCGTTAAATCTTATAATTTTAAGCTTAAAAATAATTTACAGAAGGTATGTACATATATATTTTTTCCATTAATATAAAAAGCAATATAAAATAAGTACTATGGCTTAATCCATTAAAAAAATCTTCAAATTCGTTTCTGTGTGTTTTTATCTCCGTATAGCTAAGGGAAAAGCCCCTACGAGAAGATTTTCGTGGTCGAAGAACCTTCTACAAAAAGGCTTATTTATTTAAGTTTTTCGTCTGAACAAACTGTACGTCTCGGGAATCCTTTTTGTATCCTTTTTCTTGTTCCGACTGTTTTTATAGGATTAGGAAAAGCCGCTCCAAGGATAATAGGTGAAATATTGCTGCTGCAATTTGAAAATACAATAAAATAAAATATATTTTGACATAGTATATAATATTTTTATAGTAAAAATTAACAGTACCGATGAGTAAACAGTTTTTTTACATAATCTGTTCATTAAAAGTTTTTCAGTATCTCTTTTAGATATATTTCTGAATGTATTCACTCAGGGATATTCGGAGGTAGTTTTCTTTTTGAAATATTTCCAAATTTGTCACTACCACTCATAAAGCGAAGATCATAAAACATAAATAATATAATATTAATACTTTTTATTTTATCCCCTATTCATAGAGGTTTTCTAACACAACTACACAATTTAAGAAATATTTGGAAATTATTCTTTTTTTGGCAACATTTCAGTATGATTTTAGACTTCTCTGTCATAATATAAAATAAATAAACTAGTATATCTCTGTAAAATATTAAATTTTAATTAATTATATTCAATAAATTTTGTGTATTTATTAATTTAATATATAGGTTTCAACAAACAATATCTCTGTATTATACTTAATATGGTTAATTGATTAGAATATTTAATACTGATATGGTTCAATTACAATTTCGTAATTTATGTGTATGTCCAGTATTAGTTCATTAGTTGTCATTATATCTTGATTTGAGTATAAAATATAATTTAGTTTTATTTTTTTTTCAACAAATTTTTCAACACCTTTTAATTTTTTAGCTATAACTTGGAAATAAAAACAAAATAAAATGTATTTATGAGTTGAAAAAAAAATAAGTTTGTTTCTCATTGTTCTTTATCTAAAACAATGTTGATGTAGTAGTTATAATTATAATATAACTACTATACAATAATAACTATACGTTATATATAAGTACTATACAATAATAACTACTAATAAAAATAATAATATATTGTATATATAGAGCATATAAGAACTTTCTTTATTTAGGATCGAATACCTATCGAGTTCAGCTTAAAATTCTCTGGAGTATGTGCAGAGCCAATCTCGAACAATAAAATTAAATCAACAATCGAACAATAAAATTAAATCAATAAAATAGGAGTAAAGTAGGATAATAAGAAAATCCCCTTCCGGAAAAAATATCTATACGAGTATAAAACTACTTATATTTTCTTGTTACAATGTTATAGATATTATCAGAAGAAAATGTAATCATAAATGGAAAAATAGCCTCTTATCTTCTTCTTAATTGCTCTGTAAAATTATTTTACAGTGTCATGTGAATTGTGATTGATTTGAGTAATATTCGATTACAATCAACACGAAGTAATCTGAATTAAAATTATTTCGTTTGGTTTGATTTGGTAGTAAGAGTAAACAAATTATTATCCAAATCTCATTGCCCATTATATGTATAATCAAAAAAATAAATAATGTAATACAATACCTGTAATTTGGTCAATATTAATTGCACACTTCTTTTTAATCAACTAGTGCTTAAACTTGAATCCAGTTTCCAGCCATAGAAACTGGATTCAAGTGGCACGAAATAGAAAGGAATGGCTAGAGTTAAGGGAGGCTTTTGTTCAGCAGTGGACGGTATAAGCTAAGTGATGATGATGATGATGAGTGCTTAAACTAGTCTTCATAATTACATCTCTTGAG